GTCAGTATCAGAGGCATGTGTTTATATTGTGAAAGTAAAGGATGATCGTACCTTAGTGGTACAACGTATGTTTATATAGTAGTCGAGATGTATGCTTGTAGGATGCCTTTCTTCAGGGTGAAGGCAAAGGTTCCTTGGTACCAACGTAGTGTGGCTGTCAGTGTTTAAATGTTGAGGAGCTTGCCGCCATGGTGTCTAGTAGTAGAGTCATAGCGAGCTAGAGCTGTCCATAATTTACTGGTGTGAGGGCGCGGTGGTGTTGCCTTGGCCCTTAAGTTTATTGTCTGTAGAAGGTATCTTGTTGCGTGGGGAACAAGTACATCCTGCATGTCGTGAGGAGGTATTGCGCCATGTAGGACGCGATAGGGTCATCGTGCTGGTGTGTCGCGATAGGGTTATCGCGCTAGTGTACCGCGACAGGGTTATCGCGTCTGTGCGTGCCCTTTATGCCTTTATTCTGGGTCCTATATGGGCTTGGACTTTCATGTGTTTATTAGGCTCTGGTTAGGCCTATATTATATCCGGATCATATATATAACTATTTCAGGCGCGGGTTGTGGTCCTTGGAGATGCACGTGGGTGGTTCAAGCTTGCAAAGAAGCAGTAAATTAATAATTATAAGACTATAATTGATGCTTTTGCAAATCTAAATAGGTTTGGAAAGAGTAGGAAAAACCTATATTACCCCATTACAGTGACAGGTTGGAATTATACATGGGGTTTTAATTTTATCATATGACAGAGGAATGGAGAAGGCTTTTGCAGAATTTGACTGCATGTCTATACGCACGGCTATGGGTATATATAGTTCCTCACCACCATCACTTTCCAGATAGTGCTTTGCAACTTGATGTCTTATGTCCCTATCTAATAACGTGACTTGCCAAATATAACACTAATTAAGAAGAAAATATATCAATAATTCAGAAAGCAAAATCTTTTTCTGATTTGCTGAAGAAACCCCCGAGAACTTGTTAATCCGTAAAAAGTTCACCGGAAAATTTTCCCTATAGAATACAAGTTGTTTGACATTAATTGAACATTCAAATAAATGTTAAAATTTGATAATCATCTCAAACTCTTGTCTCCGTTTCTCTTTGCATTAATATTGCTAAATTTCAATTGGATCATATTTATTTAATTAATGTCTAAGAAAAGGGATATATTTAAAGTTTTGAGGCAGGGGGCACCTGCACTTGTGCCAGCGTGTGCAAGTGCAGGCACAAATATTTGAAAATAAAAGAATAAATTATCTTTTAGGTCCTCAACAAAAATTATAGGGTCTAATTTAATCACTTAGAAAAAAATCTCGACTCGTGATTCTCTTAATTTCAAAATAGACCAATTTGATTGAAATCGTGATACCTCTGAAATTCAAAGAAGATCCACGTTAGTCCTTCAAAATGACTAAGATGAGTCTATTTTGAATTTCAAATGAATCTCGAGTCGAATTTTTTTTTCTAAAGGATTAAATTGAGTCCCGTAATATTTGTTGAGTATCCAAAAATTTTAAAGGAACCACTTATTTATATTCTTTTGTTTTTAATACATTTAAAATTTTTTAAATTTATTTTTGGAGGCGCAGCTCCCGAATCCCAACCCTAAATATGCAGACATAAATAAAATTTTCTAGGTCCTGGGAGGAGAGGAGAAAATCAAATAATTTATCATTTATAAACATAAATTTAAAATAAGAACATAACAGAAAAATAAATATAAGAATTTTGAAAAAAAAATTATGTATATCTTAAATTTTTTTTTCCTAAAATCTTATATTTTTTTATGATAATAATAACTATTATAAAAACATATGTTTGATTAAGTTTTTTCACGAGAGAAGCTTCAAAAAAAAAAAACATTTTCTTACTAGTTTTAATGTGAAGAACGAGGACGCTCGTGTGTGGCCGTCTATCAATATCTCATTATGACATTCTTCGTGTGGTGCAATAAAGAAGTATGTGTTTGTGACATCATTTATAAGTCTTGACTTTTTTGTAACATAATTTAATAATGATATTTTTATATGCAATTTGAGTAATTATTGGTTGAGGACTATGATGTAATCTTTTACATTGTACATTGAACTGAACCGGTTGTAACTAGAATGAATGCAAGAAGGTGGGAATATGGATTAATGAAATGAATAAGAGGAGAATAAAGAATACGTAAATATTTCTATGAGAATTATTTAAAATATTTTATGGCGGACGTGGGCTCTCTTTGTTTTATTTTGCATTATAGACGAATTTCACAGCATGATATGATCGATGTTCCATGCATCGGCAGCTGCACACACAAATTGTTAGTTTCTTTATCTCAACTGATTTAATGGTTATCCAATTAATTTGGTTTGAATTGGACAAAATGATAGAACAAATAAAACTCTTTCTATCAAATTCGTCATAAATTGCTAGCTGTGTGAAAATATTATATAAATACCTTTGAATAAATTATTGTTGTTTGATAAAATTATATTTTTTTTAAAAAAATTGATTATCTCACAACTCTTTTTAACATGTTCAAGTTACATGAAAAATCTTAATTATTTATCAAAATTAACGGTCACAATTTTCATAACGAAACTTGCTAAATGAAAAAAAAAACATTTTAATTGTCAATATTTACTCTATCAATAAGTAAATAGAAGAACATTCTCCAATATTTTTTTTTAATTATATTGAATTTGCAATACATGACTGCATAACTTGAGTAGTAAAAAGTGAGAAGTTAGTCTACGTCAACATCACAACTTGCTTACAAGGAAATTATTTTGATATTCATATGTTTTTCAAAGTAATTAACATTCAAGATGAACTGTTTTATTTTCTGATGACATTTTATATTTTAAATATTTATATATAAAATTAATTATTAACAATTATAAAGTAAACACCTTAAATATTGTACTCTTATATGTTAAGGTTTATCTTAATTCAAACTGCATGTGCAAAAGTGACAAAGATGTTGAAATTGATATTGAATGGATGGTTATTGAATTTTCTAATGAACTTAAATGTTTTGGGATTCCTAACCATACGTTTGCATTGAAAATGGATGTTCTGGTGATATTGCTAAGAAACTTCAATCAAGCAAGAGGTTTGTGTAATAAGACAAGTCTTATTGTGATTGATTTGCGATTAATGTCATTGTGCTAAAGAAGTTAGTGGGAGTAATGTTGGAGACAAAGTTTTTATTCGTGGAATGAACTTGGTGCTTTCTGACGCGAAATTTTCAGTAAAGTTTCAAAGAAGGAAGTTTTTATTGACTCTTTGTCTTGCTCTGGCTATTAATCAAAGTAGGGGCAGACATTTTCTTATATTGGTTTGGTTTTGCAACGCCGATTTTTTTTGTCATAAACAATTATATGTTGTTAAATCAAAAGTTAAGCGAAGAAATAGTTTGAAGATATTAATTTCCAAAAATAAAGGTGATCTTGTGCCGTATGACAAAGAAATATATGGGTATGTTTAATTGTGTTCTATTTTTTATTTTATTTTTTAAAAAATCTGTTTTGTAGAATAGTTATAGAAATATATGTTTTTTTTGTATTTTTTTGTTTTAAAATTTAAAAGTCTAAATACAATAAAAAAAAAACTCAGATATATTCTCTAAATTTGATTTAAAAAAAAAACAGTTACAATTTTTAATTTTTTTTTTTTTACAAAACAAGTCTTGTTAAATGGATTTTTTTTATTTTTGTTTTGAAAACTAAAAAACTATTTTTAAAAACAGGATTCCATCAGAGGGACTATAGTCTTCAAAGAGATTTTTCATAAAATTTCAATTTGATGAATCACTTATTGCTTGTCTTTTGTCATTGTGTATTTTATTAGCATGTTATCTAATTAGTGTTTTATTTTAAAACTTCGTATGATGGGTCTATCAATTTTACTATCTCCACACTCTTATATGATATTATTAAACATAATCTTGAAAATATTGATGATATTTCTCATCATGTTAATCGTGGGTTATTTTTAAGACAATTAATTAATATTAACTAATCAAGTAAAAAAATTAGGGAATGAGTCATTTTCGAGAGAGTGCTAAAAAAATAAAAAAACAATTAATTCGTTTATAAATAAATGAGATATCATATTTGCATAAGAAGATTTATTTATTCTTTGTCACGCTAATATTTAAATAAGGAAAAGGAGTAATGTAATGTAATCACGTTCTCAACATACATACAAATTGGACATTTAATTATGGGTAGAGTGTGTATTATTTTAAAAGATGTAAAGTTAGGTTATTTTAAGTGAGAGAAAGAGATAAATCATGGAGGAGAGAGAGCGGACAAAAAAAAAAGTGTAGGTCCCACCTCTTTATGAGAGTGAAATGACACAAGCTATATCATTTAAAAAAGAGAAACACTTTTTCCTTGAATTATTTATTACTCACATAAAATTATCATAAAAATATTTCTGCAATTACTGTAGATAAATTATCTACATTTACTCATAAAACGATGTCGTTCTGAGATTGAAAGATTAAAAAATTATAATTATAAAGACTATAATAACCCTGAAATAAATTAAAATTACAAAAATAACATGATTTCTGTCTCAAAATGATGTCATATTGAACTTATTGCAGATAAAGTGAACCCGAAAATTATGTAGGACTTACATAGAATCATGGGAAGAGGAAGAGAAAAAAAAAAATGAGTCTCATACATCTTTATATTTAGATATGAGGCAAGTTATATTTACAAACTTTTTTGTTTACAGACTATACTAAGTACGACCGGTTATACTTTAATCATGCAGTGTACGACCGGTCGTACTTAATGTAATTTGCAAAAAAAAAATTTGTAAACGGATCCTATCTCTTTAGATAGATATATATATATATATATATATATATATATATATATATATATATAAAGATAAACAATAATCTCTTTATTTATATTATTCATTATCTAAAATTGTCTCTCCAATGTAAGAAATAAGACAAAGATTAGAACTTGATTACACATTAACACCAACCAACGTTACAAATATACCCACACACAGAAACCGACTCAGAGAATGAAAGGGAGGACAACAGAGACAGACATGCGCCTATTCAAATGAACAGAACACAATAATCACAAAGTAAGAACCTTTTGCTTTTTATTGCTCTCTCTCTCTCTCTCTGAAAAGGACTGATTCTCCTCTTTGCTTTTACATCTTTTTTTTTCCCCAGAGATCGTGCTGGTTCTGCTTCTTCCCTCTCACTCTCACCTCTGTGTTAGTGTAGCAGCTATGCAGAGTGAGATTCGTATGCGATGGCCGTGCTGAGAATGGCTCAGCCTCAGCATAACAATGGCAACAACAACAACAACAACAGCAGCAACAGCAACAGTGTGAGCGAGCACTTGGTCAAACCGGTCCTCCATGATTTTCTAGGCATGAAGCCAAATGATAATTCACCTAAAACCGCCGATATGAGGTTGTCGGAAGTGTCGACAACCCTGTCTGTTGCCGCCTCTTCCGCCGGTACACGTGGCCCCTTCTCCACCACCTCTGACATCGGTTCTGGTGAGTGACCTGTGATCCCTCTCTCTCTCTCTCTCTCTCTCTGTAAGTGGGGTATCTTGGTCTTTTTATTCTTAACATATTTATTTTTGTGTCTTTTGATTTGTTTTATTTATTTATTTTTCCTTAAACATTTTTTCCTTCATTCTCTAATGTGTTAAGCTTTCACCTACTGCGTTTTTAGTTAGCCAGAGTTTTTTTTTTTTTTAAATGGCATGTAAATTTACTGTCATGGTTTTTCTTTACTTTCTTTTGATTTGCAGTATGGTGTTTGGTTTGATTCTCTGTTTCTTATTTCTACAAGTATTATTTCATTTACTAATTGAGACTGGGAGAATTGTATTTATGCTTAAAATTTCTGTTGTTTTGGACTGAAATTTTAATCTAGCTATTATTATGTGTTGTTATCGTTTGTGCATTGGCTAAATAATGACGATATCATTTTTTTAGTTTTTTATTATAATTATTGTTATTGTATCGTCTCACTTTTTCTTTTTTTTTCCTTCTTGGTTTTTTTCATCAACAAATGAGCGTTCTTACTCCTTAGTACTCATTTTTTCTTTTAAAGAAATTATAGTTGAAAATACAAACTATTTATAGAAGTTTCTATTATCTTGTAAGGATTTTGATTTCTATGAATGTAATGTTTTTGCCCTCATCAATTTGGTAGAAAAACAGGTAGGAAATCATCTTGAGGGAGTTCCATTCTATGGTCCTAGGAGTGATTTTTCTGGCAGTGAGATGCCTAACAGACTAGTGGGAAACAAGAGAAGTAATTCTGATTCTACTTTTATGGGTTCCTCCCGAGATGCCTTTCAAATGGTCCCTGACTCCTTTCAAAACTCACATATGATGAAGGTTACTTTGAATTATTTATCACATAATTCTTCTTCTCCAATATTCTCAATAACCCAAAAATGAAAAATACTTGTGCTTTGGTCTTCTTTTCTTTGATATCTTGAGTTTTGTTTTTACGCAGGTACTCCGGAATGCTGCTGGAGGAGAGAGGTCTAGAAGGGCCAATGATGATGAAGTGTTACTTGGTATGCAGTCACCGAAGCCAACTTCTGCTTCTCAGATATTTCAGCCTCCCACCAGTAGTAAGATTGATGCCAATAAATGGGAACGATCTATTCTCATGAATGTTGGCCCTTCCATGCATCATCCACCGCGTGGGGGACAATTGACACCTTTTGTACACCAAATAGCTTCAAACAAGATTAGGGATACCAATGCTGGTCCTTCATTTATCTCTCAGCCAGCAGCTGATGAAGGATCTAGAACTGGAATCAAGGGCCTTGGAATTTTAAGTTCTATAAACGCAACTGCTACTGCCACTGAGAAAACTTCTTCTGCAGCGCTGCTTGGTGGAAGTAGGCCAAAGCCTCCAACTAATATAATAGAGTCATCTGTACCTCAAAGGTAAATCTATCTTATAAATACAGTGGCTCAATTCCCCATGGTTCTTTTTATTTTTCACTACCTTTACCTCGGAAAAAGGAGAAGCTGCTTAATTTTATATCCTTTGGTATTGACAGCAGTCAACATGGGCTAACATCTGCCAGCCGCCAGATGACTATTTTTTATGGAGGTCAAGCTCATGTTTTTGATGATGTCCACCCTCATAAGGTTTGGCCTCTGATTGTAAGCATGGCATATTTGTTTGCTGCATTTAGTTAAATCAGGCCTGAAATTAGTTTGTATTTGTGGATCATTACAGGAAACAATTTGTATTTTAAAATTCAGTTTGTGATTTATTCTTGTGGGTGATTAAACAATTGTTCTTTCTATTAGTAAAAAATTGGAGACAACATTTTCCTCAAAGCCCCATGACATGCAAATTTTAATCTCTATCGGAACTTATACTGTAATTCTGATTTTAATTGAGAGACATGTCTTGATATTCTGAGTTGATTTGCATTCCACACTTATGTTATAGTTTCTACAACTTATTTTAGCTACTTATTGCAATATCTGGTGACTCTGCTGAACCTATAATTGCTGCTAGAAAAGACTTTATAGCAAGCGATAATACATTTACTTAAGTATTTGACCCAGGTGAAATCACTTTTGAAAATTGCCTTTTTCTCGAACTGATCGAACACTTACTTATTCAAGCTTTATTCTAGTTTTCCAGAATATATATTCTGTTATTTTTTAATAGAATATATTTGATTATTTTTATGGGTTTAATTAAGACAGTACTATTTAAAGTCGGTTTATGGTTGCATTTTGTATCTTCTTTTTTTCAGGATTTTTTGTCTTGAACTATTCAAAATGTTTCCTGCTGAGATTTGGAAATTTCCAAAATTCTCTTAACATATTGCCAATGCTGAGTTAAAGCTAAGTTCACTCATCTGTGTGCAGTAGCAGTATTCCACATGGGATTTATTGCTATAGCTGTTTGGATCAAACGTGAATCTATCAAAAGAAATTTGGGGCTGGCTTAAAAAAATAAAGATTGTGTTAGACTCGCACACAGACTTCGATCAGGAGATTAGAGCATTTAATTGCTGTATGTTGTTGATGAAAAATTAAATGAACTTTCATGGCTTGGACTTGGAGAAGGTCCAATGTTACCTTGTGTCTGGATTTTGATGATAATTTTTAGTGCAAATGATGGATCATGTTGTGTGTTAGAGATTTAATATAATATAAAACCATTTATGTGCCTTCATCTAATAACTTAAGCTTTTGATATAGTTGGTCTATAACATGGTATTAGAGCCTCCATTGCCAAGTTATTTAGAGTTTTGATTTTTGCCGCCTCCATTCTTCTAAACAAAAAAAGGAAGTTGATTTTAAGAATTAGTCAAGTGGACCTTTGTATTTTCCACACTTCAAGCCCAAAGCTCTTCTGTTAGGAGGCATTTTAGAGATCTAATATAATATAAAACCATTTACGTGTCTTTGCCTAGCCATATAAGCTTTTGGGATGTTTGGTTATGACAATATACTCTTGGTACTGAAATGATAAGTTAGCAGCAATGGGAAGTGAGGATCTGTTAAGCATAAGCATGAAAAATACAAACTTGCCTGATAGAATTGATCCATATTAAAAGGAGGTCATAGAAGAGAAAATGAAAATTTCTGCGAACGTAACTGTCATTTGAGTTCATAGTCTAACATAGAAAATGCTAACCATAAAAGACACAAACTTGCTTAATAGAATTGATCCATATTAGAAGGGGGTCATAGAAGTAAAATTGCTGCAAACAGCAGTAAATGCCAACAAATTTTGGAACTCAAAGCAGTAAATGAGATTCCAATGCTGCACCAAATTATGACTTGGTTAGCTCCTTTGTACAGATACTGTTCTTCTGTATATCTGTTACAAAATTGTCTTGTACACAGCACAAATAGTGTATGTATGTTCCGTACGCAACAACAAAAACAATAACAATCACCACCAAGCCTTATCTCACTATGTGGAGTTGGTTACGTGGACCAACCGATGCCATTGGGTTCAAAACCAAATTTTCTGTAAATGGTTTTTCCTAATGTTATCCCAGGTCTTCCTTTGTCCAGTTTGCATAATAGCTAGGTTTGAATTAAGTAAAGAGCAAGCTATGATGTTCTTGAAAATTTTCAAGACCATATATGTTTGCTTGGCCTTCAAAGCCTCATAATAGAAAGTCTTTTATTTTTCACTCTGTTGAGTCTTTCCTTTGATCTGAAATTTTATGTATGCAGAAATAGGCAGTATGGTTTCTTGTTTTATCATGACATCTGCATGTTCTCTGATGTATGCAGGCAGATGTTATAATGGCTTTGGCTGGGTCAAATGGTGGATCTTGGTCAACAGCATTCTCGCCGAAATCTGCTGTAAAGCTGGTTAATGGTAGTAACTTGCACAGTGGAGAAAATGAAACAGGTATAGTGAGTAATGTCCCATTCCCACAAGAGCTTCATGGGAGATTGTCTATCATTGGCAGTTCTAGCCATGCCATTGGACCTGGTGATCGAGTATCTACTCTTGCAGGTAATCCTCACATAGTACATGGTTTGATTTGGCTACATTCTGCTGTCATATCATACCTTCCAATAGGAGAATACCGATCCTTGTGTCATCCTTTTGTTGACCTTATAGGCCTTGCTTTCTGAGTTCAGTCAAATATTCATCACATCCTTTCATATAGACCTTGCTCTTAAACCAACTCTAAATATTTTCTTGATTTTGGTTGTGGCATGAACCATAGAAAATGCTTCTCTTGTATAGGTCAAATTTTCATTTCTTTTGACCTGTTCAATTTGTTGTTGATTGCTAAATAACTGATCATAGGGGGACACCAAGGAAGCATTTTAGCTAAAGAAACAAGAAATCCGGTTCAAGCAACAGATGCCAGTTCTGAAGACAAAAGAGCACAGTGATATTGAGTTTGAGGTTGAAAGGTTCTGTTACTATTTATTCGAAGGCTCAAGAATTTTCTCTTTATTCTGAATACTAGTGGGTGCATCCTCTTTTGTCAAATTTTCTTCTGATCTTTTAACTTATTATTATTCCCCTTATTTAGTCTTTTTTCTTTATGTGGGAAGCAAGAGCAGGATGTTTGTTTAAAGAGGCCTAACAGAGATATCAGATAAATTTATGAAGTGCTTTCAATTGTTAAAAGGAAAATATCTTATATTTGCAGTTCCAAGACGCCATTCACCTTCACCTTATATCAGGAGATGCAGCTCCTTTATAGGAATAACTTCAGATTATGAAACCTGAGAGGTGCCATTGCCTAGTCTTATAAACACTATGCATCCTACAAAAGCCGTTCTATATAGTGAACTATGAGGAGAGGAATCTCTTTGGGTTTTTAGCGCTGATCCCGAAGATCTTAAAGAGCGTACGTGTGCTAATAATATAATGGGTTGATATTTTCATTTAATTATTGGTTCTAATAATTGGTGTACAACTCAACTTTTGCATCTAGTTATTTACTTTCATCATCTAAACTCAAATAAGGCTACAATGATGAGGGACATTTAAAATATGTAATAATTAGTGAATGGTGTTAACTATCTTGTTAATAAACAACCCCTTTTTTTTCCCTTTCTGAAATGGATTTCGACACAATGGCGTACAAGTAAAAAAGTATATTTGTCTTGGGCCTTTGCCCTTTCAACCACCATAAAAAATGTTAAAATGTAGTATAAACCCATCTATATTACAACCATAGATGGTATTAAATCCCAATATATTGCCTACAACTCTTAAAAAATTGTACAAAATTATAACCATAAAAAATGCTTTATTTTATTGTCAAATAAAAATTGTACATAGTAGTCAACGAATATGAATCATCATATCCAAAACTGCACCTCATGCATTTGTTTTTACATGCAGATGATCTTGTTCAATACATGTCTTGAGGACAGCATGAACACAGAACCACACTGTTTTAACCGTGGTACAGTAATTTGTGCAACTCAACCTCTAAGATGTCAGCGAGTTTCACTTGGAACTTTGACACTGAAACCTCTCATTCTTTGCACGTTCTTCCTGCCATTAAAGAAAACTATTTATCAAGTCAAAAAACAAAACAAAAAAAAAAGTAAAAAATCGAAGCTATAAGAATGACAGTAAGCAATCTAATGTGTACAGTAGTACAACGAACGAAGATTCCACCTAAAGCGCATATTTAACAATGTCATTCTTAAATTAATGGATGCTTTATACATACACAACTATCGATTATGGAAGGAGGAAAAAGGCCCACATGAAAATTAAACCCATGAATAATTGGAACAAAAATTTCCCCAAAATGCTCAACTCTGCACCACCTACGCTGCCATCTGATGAATAAGGAAAAAGCTTACCTGAAAAGCTTTCAACAGAGAATAGCAGCGCTTTTGCTCCCCGGTTGCTGCAGCATACCTATCCTTAAGATCATTGCGAATTCTCTCTTCTTCTTGAAGCCCTATTTGAACCTTTTCTAGCTTCTGCACATATGTGCAGCAATTAAAACTTTTAATCATTGAAAGGACATTTAGTGAACGAATATAAACTAAAGGAAGATCATAAGAAAAAATCACTTTATAGTCAGTCTACTAAAATATTAACATCCACGGCAAACCGAAAATATAAGGACTTTTAGTATTAATAAAAATATTAGGGTTTTTCTCCATAAAAGTCTCATGAAATTAAACATGGAATTAAAATATTTATTATCTAAATTATAATCGTAAGGACCTAATTGATAATGTATGCCAATTGGCAAATCAGAACGGAATGAATTTGCTTAACTTGGCATTTTAACCAATTTTTGGAGTTGCTTATAGAAGTTACAATTAAATAAGTCAAGTGTTTTATTGTAATTCTATAAATATATTTAGATACCTCCTGTGTTTGGAAAATATAAGCCCAAGTTGCTTCTAAAGCTCCTGCTGACATTTTTGGAAGTTATTTGTGCTTTTTATTCTTTAAATACAAAGTAATGCAAAACATTTCAAAAATGACAATACTCAGATTAAGTTTTTTATACTTACCTGAAGATCTTTATCTGCTTGTGGTACTATTTCCCGAAAAAAGCATAAATGTGTATTACTTTTTACAACTCAACCTTAGGAACTAACTTAGGATTGAATCATTGTAATTAAGACTAATATATATGGATACCTTGTGTGGATTGTCCAAGCACACAATTCATCCCTAATCAAATTAGTTTTAGAGTTCCTTAAATCAACATAACACATCAATAGCTGCTGTCAACTCTTCCCAATTTATCATTTACGCATACCAGAAAATAGCTATACCTGTTGACTTCCCTTGACAATTCCTTCCATGGAATGAACAAGTTTAATACGACCATCAGTGCTACTGAAGGCCTCTTGAAACTGCAATAAAGCGAAAATATAATACATAACAGCAGATTCAGATAACATTTAAAAAAACACAGCCAGATTATTTCTTAACAAACAAGACAATGAAATGTGAGGTCAAACAACTTTTATTCTCTGCTACAATAAGGCTTTGAGTTTGTTAATTACCAAGAGACAAGAGGTATTCTATAATGACCCTAAATGGTAAATCTTAATTAGAGATTTAATTTAAGGATTTAAATTCCATAATTAGATTTAGTGAGTGATTCCGAGTATTTTGACTGTAATCATGACTATGTTATGAACAGTGCGTTCTACCGGAGAATTTACAGTTTTGTGAATTAACCGGTAGAGCTTAAAAAGAGCAAAATAATTTTAGAGGCATAATTTGATAATTCTGACGACAAATATGAGTTCAGAACGAAAAATTGTATAGTCTGGCACTTTCCGTGAAAATCTCGTGAATAGTGTTTCTACCGGGTATTTTGTACTGCTGTTTAAGCAACCGGTAGAGCCCAGAAACAAATAATTGATGAAATAAGAATAAGAAAGTCCAATATATGCCAAGCAAGTCAATATAGGCCCAAGAAAATGATAAGTTTATAAGTTTAAGTTTCATAAGTAAATGAAGTACAATTAGTGATTCACAGTGCATTTCGTCAAAAACGGTGCAAAAATCATACTGTGAATTATGAATATTGTTTTGTAAGAATTAAAAAGTAATATAAATGATTTTAGAAAAATAAAAATATATTTGTAGCTTTGAGTTAGTCCGGGTTAGTTTAAGTGAAAATACGCGAAAGAAAAATACCCAGGTAAAAGGCCACATGTGCTCACCTTCTTAAGTCACTTAAGTCTCATTTCCAAATCAGTTTCTCTCTCCTCTCCTCACTCTCAAAACCGAGCTGCAGCCATGGGGGAAGGGTTTGGGGTTGTCTTCTTCCTTCTTTGATTTCTCCATGGTTAAGCCACCAAATCTTTCACCCAATATACCAATCTCATAGGAAATCGTCCAAGGAAGCTATTCCACCCCTCCATTTGAGCTGATTTCGTTTGTGGAGGGAGATATTCATCACTCCATTTTCGGTTACTATTCATTGGAGGAGAAAAAGTGAGTTTTTGATGAAGTTTGGCTTGGAGATTGCTCTCTAGGCTTTGTACAAGTGTTTAGAGGTAAGAAACCTCTACTTCCATGATATTATTTTGATGAATTAAGTCATGAAATCTATGAGCATGTGTGGGTAGGGAATAATTGATTTTAGAAATTGAAATTGATAATGGTTTGTTGTTGTTTAAGAAGTTATATGGTAAAGTAAGCATCAACATGTAATAAAAAAATTGAAAAGCCCATGGTACTTCCCTCCCTAGGTTTCGGCCATTATGGGTCACATAGGGTGCATGGTGCAAAATTTTATTTGATATATTTAGAGTGTCTAATGTGTTGGAGTGAGTAGGAATTTGGTAAATTAGTGTGAAGGCCAAAGGGGAAAAAAATCCTTTGTGTCTTGATTCCCCATGTTTCGGCTATGGAGAGTGGTGAGGGACTTGATGTCCCAACATTAAGTTGGAACAATATGGAAACATACATTTGTATGTGTAAGTTACATGTAATTAAAAAGAAAAGAGCCCTTGCCTATTCCTTATAGAGTTCGACCTATAGGGTATTTAGGAATATATTTTGTACATTTTATTTTAAATAAAATGTGTTGCAATAAATTGTAAAAAAATGATGAGTTTTGAAGAAAAATAGCATGAATTATGTTGAAAATTCCTAAGGGAATGGGTGATTAAATTAAAGAATCCAAACGAGTATAAGGTGGTCTAGACTTGTGTATTGGCATAACATTGGCAAAAACGTAAAGAAACGAAAAGAAGCGATAAAATGTATGCCTTATGTGAAAGCTAGGCATGATGGCATTTTATTAATTTGTATTTGTGGATTCTTGCTCTAGGTGTACCTAGGGACTAAAAAAGAATCAAAATCTCTTGAAGATATATAAGTAACTTGAGCCACAAGTAAGCTGATTGTTAAAGCTTCAAGAGGTAAGCTCTATGTTTAAGGAGTCTTTTCCTGCTTGAGTGCTCCATCATGGTTAGTGAACTATGGTTGGACTGTATGACTGTCATTAGATGCTTTGTATAGATGCATTCATATAGAGATATTTGATAACATGATTTGTTTTGCTCTGATATGACTTCTGTAATATGATTTCTGTAACAATCTCTGGCCATTGATTGTATAGTACCCGGATGTCCGCTTTGGGGTCCTCCCTCGGGACTGATGGTGTACACCTCTGATATGTCTGGTTCCGCTTTGGGGTCCTCCCTCGGGAACATGTGCGTTGATTTCCGCTTGGGGTCCTCCCTTGGGAATGACGACGCACACCTCTGATATGATATGGATAAATCCTCTGTTCTGTTATGATATCTGTTATATGTTGTATTCGTATACTCTGTATCTGACTTTCGTGCAGGAGTGAGCCAGGGGTATGGAGAATTCTCTATAAACCTGGAGCTTATTGAGATTTGCAATCTCACCCCTCTTTGGGGACATATTTTCAGGTGCCCAGATTCCCGGTGAGTCCTCACTAGGCAGGGACACGACACGTGGCTGAGGCAGTTGACAGATCGGATTTTGAGTGGCTGTAGGCTACTACCTTTTTGGAGTGTTTGATGTATTTTAGTATTTTCGCATTTGAGGGATCATGATATTGATCCTTTATTGTGTATATGGCCTGTATATGTTTTGTACATGTCTGTCGCTTTGATGCATGTACATTTGGGTATTCAGGCACGTTATATGATGAGGTAGTATTCAGATATGTTTACGTGTTGGATTGCATGCTGTTAGATATAGTGGCACTGAGCCAAGTTATGCATGCGCCCATGGATGGGCATTTGATTATAATTGTATAAACTGTTTATCAGGAAATGCTTCTGTGAGGGATTGGAAAATCCCCAGTTGTCCGATTTATAGAGGAAACTCTGCCCGATTTTCGTTTACGACGAATGAGAATTTAAAAAGAAAAAGAAAAAGTTAGCTCGTATTTTCAGAAGTTAAGTCTTCCGCTGTTTTCTGTTTTATCATATGTATGTTAATTGAACCGGCTCGAGACGGGGATGGTACATATTCATTGTAATCCTTGTTGTATTAAACTACACAACATTGGTGCTATTATATAGCAAACCAATTGAAGAATACAAAGAGACACACTCAATGTGGGACTTCTACACTATTAACACTAACACTCTTAACACTCCCCCTCAAGCTGTAGCATATAGATCATATGCTACAAGCTTGATACATAAATAATACTCCCATTAGGAACCAAAAACAACAATGCTACATCAACAAAATGAAATGACCATGTACAACAAATCAACTGGAATGACCATCAGTTTGAAGAGCTGACAAAGAGACAGTGCTGGAATGGACATCAGAGCATGGATGGTGCCAGAATTATCATCGGCAAGACAACTGAGCTGACCAGGACATCAGCATCAAGATCCATCTCAGACATTTCATTTAACAGTTGGTGAGCAGCCGTGGTTTCCCCTTGACTATGCTACAACCTTATTACAAGAAGACCAAGTAACATAACATCAAAATAAATCTCCTAAATGAGAAACCAAAAATCAACAATGTGCTAAAAATGGCGTCGAAATGAACATCAACATGGAAGATGCCAGAATGATCATCGGCAAAGACAATTGTGCTGGAATGACCATCAGCAACATGGACAATGCTCCCCCTCAAGAGGAACTTCTAAACAGTGCCGGAATTATCATCGGCAAAGACAATTGTGCTGGAATGACCATCAGCAAGCAACATGGACAGTGCTCCCCCTCAAGAGGAACTTCTAAACAGTGCCGGAATTATCATCGGCAAAGACAATTGTGCTGGAATGACCATCAGCAACATGGACAGTGCTCCCCCTCAAGATGGATGATGAATAGTATAAATACTCCATCTTGGGAAGAAAGAAGATTAAAGAAAAACAAAGCTTCGCAGAATCGAAAAAGTCGCTGGAGACGGCGGTAGGTCGTCGAAAAAGTCGTCGGAGACGATGGTGGATCGCCGAAAAAGTCGCCGGAAAGTCATCGGAAAAGTCGTCGGAGACGGCTGTCAACGGTGGACGACGCGGTCAACGGTGGTCGGTCAACGACAACGATGGTCAACCCAACAACTTCCCAAGGATCATTCTTTTCTGATGTGACAGATCAGTCTAAGCTGCAGTCACAGAGCATACTAAGAAAAACCCGAAAAAGAAATAGCAACGGGAATCCCTCAAGGAGGGTGATATCTCTCTATAACCATATTGAAATTATGGAAAATAGAACTAAGTTAAACGGATTAAGATTCCTCTTGTTAGGCTCTAGATACCATGTTAATTACCAAGAGACAAGAGGTATTCATTGTAATCCTTGTTGTATTAAACTACACAACATTGCTGCTATTATATAGCAAACCAATTGAAGAATACAAAGAGACACACTCAATGTGGGACTTCTACACTATTAACACTAACACTCTTAACAGAGTTCAAGAAACTTCTTCCCAGAATATTATGTGGAATCTCATTGACATTGTTAAGAGATGTAATAAAACCATTCATGTGCCTTCATCCAACCGCTTAAGCTTTTGATATAATTAGTTCATAACATAGTATCAAAGCATCATTGACCAAATGGTCAAGAATTCGCCTTGCAGACTCCATTTTTCTAGATAAAAATTAAATTTCAATAAATAAAAATAGGCTAGTGCATTATCCACGCTTCAAACTCAAAATGTTGTTGCATGATATTAGAGTAGCTATATTGTATACTGGACAGCTGTGTTTATAGTCACAGCTGTACCCAGGGTTATTTGTGTAAATAGCCAACATATTAGTTGGTAAACTGATGGTGACGTGTAAGCTTGTAACAAACTTAGTTGTCCTATAAAGGGAACGCATGTGTACTGTTTTCAAAATATACAGAATAATATGAACTATTCATTCTCTCTCATCTTCTCC